AAGAGCGGTAACAATTAGATCTGGAGACCCCCTCATCAACATTCAAAAACGACTTTGTAAATCAGACGGCTGAAAACGCTCGATCAAAGCCAAACCGCTGCTGGGAACACCCAATCAACAGTAGCAGCGCAAGAAAAGTAAACAAACACGCGAGCCACTCAACAACGTTAACAAATTAAAATAAATGATAAATAATAAGAGTAATCTAAAAATCTAAAAAATACAAGAGTAAAGAGTAAGAGCCCTTTTATTTTACCTCACTCCTCTCAAAAAGATTTTATTTTCCTACATCTCTCCCTCTTAGTTTTTAAGATTCTCTCTGCTCGATCCTTGACTCGACGTTTCTCACTCGCTCGAACTCAGTCTCTCTTCACGTCAACTTCCCCTCCAAACCAATTACACCTCGAAGACGTTGTCGATTCGGCGAAGCTAGGGTTTCGGGTTCTTTTGCAATTTTTTGAAGCTTCTGATTGGTGAATCGTTCGAATTTCGTGGACATGGAGCTGTTTTATTGTGTTTGGAAGTTTCTGAGATCGTGTGGTAGCTAGAAAGTCGAATTAGGGTTTCTGTTTTTGGATGCAAAATTGGGGGTTTTGTTTTGCTCACCGTGTTCAATTTCATGGCGCAAGTATAAATTTAGGGTTTCTAGGGTTCATTCTGGTATTGTAGTTAGGGTTCTGGTCGTTTATTATATTAAGTTGCTAAATTTATAGTGTTCTTAGTCACTTTGATTGCTGGGGCGTATAATCGATAATTGAAAGTTCAGAGCTTTTTGTGGAGAATTTAGAGGGAACGAAGTGCTGGATTGAAAATTAGGGTTTCTGTTGTAAATTAAGCAAATTCGTGGGATTTGAAATGTTTTGGTTTGGTTTAGAAGTTAAATTGGGCAGTGGATAAGATAGTATTGAAGATTTAGGGTGTAGACTGTTGTATGAGAACTGAAGTGGGTGGAGTTTAATAACTCGGAGGTAAGAAATGTTTTATTCACAGTTTATTTTGGCCAAGAAAGGGCCTTTGGGTACAATTTGGATAGCTGCTCATCTGGAGAGGAAGCTTCGGAAGAATCAGGTCGCTGATACTGATATTGGTGTCTCTGTAGGTTAGTTTTTATCCACCTTTGTACAATATTTACTTTCAATTTGTTTGATTTCTTTTCGAGAAAGGAATGATACTACGACGCTC